TATATATATATATATATATATATATTAAAACTAAATGAAACTATGTCAAGCATTAAATAGCAAATTTACATATTAGTTTTATGCTGAAATACCAGACAATTTATTCTGAAATGTAGGTAAGAAACACCCAAGTCCATTTTCTAATAAGTGCACATACACAGGTCCACCCTACCTGCACTTCCAACAAATCGTGAAAGAATCTCCCCAATATAAAGTACTCTAGTTTTATTCTTTTTATCCTGAGGCCTTCCTATTCTTCTTAGAAACTTATAAAGCACTTGCTTCTTGCAACTCTCAGCTATTATTAAAGTATACAGTAAGAGCAGTAGAGCTACAATGAATGGGTGAAACAGATGTTAAATGGATACATAAACAGTGCAAGTGTAAATGCCCAGAAAGAGGAAATAAACATGATCACACTACCAATGCCCCTCCCACAAACTTAAAGTCCAAAAAAGACTGTTCATATATCCTATTGTTTATATAGACAGCATTGATGTATACATATCTAAATATGGTTATTAGAAATGGCTTTAGGAAATCTAGGCTTTGTTTAGCAATTTATTATTTATTTTCTATGGGGCCTTTTCTTTTTTTGGCCACCTCTTAAAGTACACTACTCCATGCCTGGCCATCCCCTTCAACATTGGCTTGCTCCGTTGCTTTTCACAGCAGCTGCAATTTGTAGAATATTGTATAATATGTATAATATTATCGCCTGGTGGGTGATAAAAAAATTTCTCATTTATTTCTACTATTATTTGATAGTAAACATTAGGATGTGTGAGGTATCCACAAGTATACTTAACTAGTGCTTGCTGCATACTACTTATTCCTTGTAATCCCAATGCAGCATGCTCTGGAACTGGTACAGAGTGACTGATTTATTCTAAAACACTAATTAGAAGTTATTCTGGAGGACACAACCCCTTTCATCAGGACCATGAGGTAGACTTAATTTGACTTTATAGCTAAAATTATTAATTTCCAAAGTTAGATTTGTTTTTTATCTTTCTAATGTGACACAAAGAACTGTAATAACAATGTGCTCGAGGATTAACAAAAAGTCATATTAACATTGGATGGCAATAGGTTCTCATCTCTGATCTACAGATAGTTTCCATTAACAGAGGTTAGGTTGGGTACTGTAAGCCTTACCCAACTCGGCTCACTATTAATCCTGAATCCATTAACGGTAACTCTGATTTAGTTCTTAGCTAGTCAAGTTAATAGTGACACAATATATATATTTTTTTGCAGGTAGTGAAGAACAAACCATGTTTCAATGATTATAAACTGGCTCAAGCATCATTTGTCTTCTAGGGATGGAATTAATCTGACCCCCGGATGTCTCAAATCCAGGGAGTTCCTCTCCTAATGCTTTCACAGTATGACATACTGAACTCTGTCAATTCTGAGTAATGCTGTCTAAAAGCTTATCATTACCCACTGTTAATGCTGACTGTCAAATTATTTGGAAAGTCCATTCCAACCTAATCCCCCACCTTTAGGTGATCACCAGTATGCCTCCCATTACATTTCTCTGTATCTTACATCTTTTGTAAAAATGTGTCTATTCCAACTTCTCTTTTCCCAAACCTAAAGCCTTTTTTAGTAGTGAGTAGGTTATTTTTGCAATTTGAACTCATTTTAAGAAAACATTTGTGTCCTAATTTTTACTTCTGTGTAAATAAGCTCTGAGTTGGATTTGTCTTTGCAAACATAAAAACACACCCATAACATGTTTTTTTTTGTTTGTTTTTTTTTCTGGTAGGAACATATTGTAGAAGTAGAAATTTACAGTAATTAAAAATGTTGTTTTAATTTCATTTATTTTCTTAAAATTTCTTCACTTTTTTAAAGATGTACTACTTGAATAATACAATGAAAAAAATAAAAATAAATACAACAAAGGTTGGTCTAACAGTGGTCTGATATTACAAAAAAAAAAAACCTTTTTTAAAAGTACACCTGTATACCTTAGGGATTACTTAAAATAGCAGTTAGATTTATATCTACACATATCATAAGCAACACTAACCAATACTAATATAAATAAATTATAAATAAATTATTCCTCGATATGAAAAATTTTCTGCACTTGCTTTAATACAAGCTACAAGGTACTGAAACTGAAAATGAGTTGGACAATAGGAGGGTTGTAGTTAAAGATTCATAGTTTTATAGCTATACTATTTCTGCTCTTGGTTTATAACAACTAGGGTTATGTTCCTCTACCAACCATTACCTTTCTATGTCTTCACTTAACGTGAAATGATTGCAGCACTTATTTTTCAGCCATGTACCAGACAGAAAAACATTTTAGATTTTATGTGAAATCAAGCTTTAAAATTGATTCAGTCCACAGCAATGGCTCTGACATAGTTCAGCTATAGAACTAAACGATGAGAATAATTAATTTCAAAATAAAATAGTTGGAATGTTTTCACAGATACTATCACCTGAATTTAACCACACCGTTTTCAATCCCACATTTCTGGCAAGCCAAGCTAAGATAAAGTGAATCTAAATAACTGCATGAGTGTGTAGCTCACCACTTGCATGCTCATCTATGTGTCATCTACTCCTATTTATATGTCTGTGTCAGAGTCGGACTCACAGCACAGATGCCCGGGGTCAGGATCATCCAGCACCATTTGATTAAGAAGAAAGGTTTGTATCCAATCATATCCTCGATATTTAGGTAGAATCTGTCGCCTCCTGTAAGGAAACAAGTTTCACTCAGGAGTTTCTGCATGCATCATTAATATAACGACATGACTGATGTCTTTTGACAGTTCATGGTTGTGTAACACGTTGTTTTTGACTTAAAGTGGACAAATGTCTTTTGAAAGTTAGCATCAAGAGAGCCAGAGGCATCCTGAATTTTTTTCTGTAACAGCAGAATCTTTAGTCATATTTTGTTACAAATAGTCTGGGGAAATAACAATACTCATTTACCACTATTTAAAAAATATATCTGCATGCATTTTTGGTAGTCATCAATATTATGTCCATTAAATTATGTTAGAGAACCTTATGTAAGATAAAAATAAAGAACACATAAAGGTAAAATGATGCCATTTTTCTTATGATATGGCGTTTAAATTGTTAAATGAATGGTGTATGTGTTTCTAAGCACTCTCCAGCAGATGGCAGAAAAAGTATATATTTCCACTGAGGAGCATCAAAACATGTTGCAATAAAAAAAAAATGTTGCTCAAGTCTATGAAAGTTGCATAAAGCCTAAACTGCTTTAAACTTGCAAGATGAGCAAGTTAAAAATACCACTAATAATGTTTTCTTGTGTTTTAGCTTTAAATACTCTTCTTACCATACACCCATCCGATGCATATGGACTCAAATATAGCCACAAAAAGCAAGCACATCCCACTGGCAGCATATGCGTCAAACAGCTGGAAAACATACATTCCTCCCTAATGGAAGGAGACAAGTGTCAGTTTTTCACACAAATATCAGCTGGTTGATACACATGAAGTGATAAACTGATTGTTTTATGCTTTGTAATATATTTAAGTCAACTTAGTGATATGGAGTTTTACATTACAGCAGGTCACAGCTTACACTTGTTAAAAATTATTCTTTAAAAAGAAAGAATTTGCTCCAGTTTACTCCAAACTAAAACAAGTTCAGAATATTCAGGATTTCTCCAAATCTCTCGAATTACTTACTTAAAAATACAGTATATACTGTTTCACATTTCTTTAACTAAAACAAGCATACAAACATCCCCAGTCAGATTCCATTACAAAAGGTAGTGGTAGATCCACAACCATAGTTTAGTAGTTTAAGCGTCTGAGAAGGTTTGCATATCTTAAAGCAGGCCTTTAAAGAAGATTTGCATTTGCAATTCTGCACAAAGCATATACCATTTTTTGTGTGTCTTACTGAATGAATATACAGAAAATATACTTATAACTAGTGTTGCGCCGATGCCATTTTTTGGCCCCGATACCGATACCCGATACCTGGCTGTGCAGTATCGGCCGATACCGATACCATAATAATGTAAAATAATTGCCATCATGGCTTTGTCAAGCTGCTGCCTTCCTTTGTGAGGCAGGAAAATATCTAATACAAAGTGAATCAAGTAGAACTTTTTGATAAAAAGTTCTACTGTATAATAAAAATAAAAAGGTTTTATTGCCTACCAGGAGTGGGTGACAATAGTTGAATAAACTTATGGCTCTCAAAATGGTATCGGTGCCCTATTTGTTGGTACTCGCCGATACCGATACCACCATTTTAGGGCAGTATCGGCACCCCGTCCGATACTGGTATCGGTATCGGTGCAACACTACTTATAACCAAATAAAGTGCAAAACAATTTTTCAAATCAGGAACTCAACAATGGCCTCAGTTTTTGCCTTTTTTCTACTTTTACATTTATTTTTACATTACATTCATCCTGTATTTTATATTGGGGACATTCCCAAAAAGCCAAAATTATCTTTGTTCTTAATACAAAGTCAATGTGGTTGACTTCTGTTAGCTTCTCCAGCAGTCAAGAACAACAGCAGGATAAACTGTAAAACCTTATATAACATATATACATTAGCAATAGTATGATAAAAATCTTGATTTGGCATTGAAATGGCAATATTTTAAAACACTGTTTTATCACAGTTACTGATTCATGGCCTATATCCACCAGCTTGTCATGGGCTACACTCCAGAACAAACTTCTGACTTAAAATAAATTTCCCTCCTGGCTCCTTGTGACTCTTTACTCATTATAGCATCATGGAAACTGCAGAGAATTAATCATCTACAGAGTGGAGAAAATGATAGTAGTTCAAACAGAAGTCAGACCTCTTAAAAATGCATCACCATAACACCACACACTGAAAATACACAATTTAATATTGTATTGAATTCTGGAGATATATATAAATAACAGTAAAGCATGGTTAAATTTGGGTGGATGGAAGTGCATTGAACTGAAAAGCTTTTAAAGAAATAAAGATTTTAAAATGTGTGAGAGGATAACCCTGTCCTACTGCAAGAAAAATATGAGAGAAAGGTTTCAGAAGCACAGAGTGGATGTTGCTGCAAATGACAAAAGATCTAGGTCACACCTAGCAGCATCTTTAGGCAATTATACCGAATATACAGTTGGACTAAAAAATAATCCTGAAAAACGAAAATTTAAAATACCATTTAAATCATACCAACATATTTCCTGTTTCTGTTTTTAGGGAACCAGACCTTATTTGTACACAACCTCTTCCTGCAACTCTATCATGTACTTCTTTATTGAAAAAAATCAAAAACATCCACCAGCACCTTGGATCAATCCCTCACCTCAGTGTCTCAGCTGACTCCCAACCATCTACACACCCACTGTCCTTCTTCCAGCTCCCCACTCCATCAGAAATCAGCAAACTCAACCAAAAATCCAAGTCATTCACTTGTCAACTGGATCCCCTACCCACACAATTTGTTAAAGTCTTCCTCGCTTCTCTCGTGCCCCTCATGTCTGCCTAAATCCACTTGTCTCTCACGACTGAAACTCGTCTCTGACCACTGGAACTGTCCCTTCAGTCCAGTTCATGCCTATTCCAAAGCACTGAAACAGCACTAAACAAAATCCCCAATGATCTCCTCATGGCAGCTGATTTTGACTCCTAACCATCCTCATCCTTCTTGACATGCACGCAGCCTTTGATACCATCTGTCACTCCACCCTCCTCAAAATCTTCAATTGGCATCGCCCCATTTCATTAGCCTGGCTTACATATTACCTCTTTGGCCCCACTCAGTTAATTCAACTCAAGTCCTTCAAATCCATTGCCTCCCCCGCCACGTCAGGGGTGCCCCAGGGTCAGTCCTGGGGCCCCTCCTCTTCATCATCTACCTCCTTCCCCTTGGCAGTATCATCGTGACACCCAGCTCTACCTCACCACTAAACCCTCATCCACTCTTCCACCCACCTCCCTCACTGATTTCATCTTTGAAGTTAAAACCTGGTTGACGCAAAACTTCCTTAAGTTAAACAGCAGTAAAACCGAGGTTTTGCTCATTGGCACCAAATCCCCCTCATCCAATCCTGTCTGCATTACTGTAATTCTCTATTTTTTGGTCTCCCTCACAAATCCCTCCATAAACTTCAGCTGGGGCAGAATTCAGCTGTCTGCATCATCACTCGAACCCCCTCGATCTACCCCATCACTCCTATCGTCTGAGAGCTCCACTGGCTCCCTGTTCAGTTCTGTATTCAATTCAAAATCCTCCTGCTAATATTCAAGTCCATCCACAACCTTGCTCCCCCAAATCTATCTGACCTTATCCTTGTTCCCAATCCATCCCGCTCCCTCAGATCATCTTCCTCCACACAACTTTCTGTCCCCTCTGCCAGTCTCGGTACCATGGGGAGCAGAGCATTCAGAAGATCTGCTCCACGTCTCTGGAATTCTTTACCATCCCTACTCAGAAATATTGACTCACTTACCCATTTCAAATCTCAACTCAAAAAAAACATCTACATGTAAGACTGCCTTTTCTATCTGGCGTCTATTGGTATTTCCATTGCCACTGTCAGTTTTATTGATTTTATTTTTATTTCTTTTAATTCATTTTGTGTATCTTCGTATGGTGTCCTTGAGGGTCGACAAAGGTGTCTTCAAATAAGATCTATTACTATTTTTATTATTATGACAAAAAACAAGTCATGAACGGTCTCCCACAAATCAGTATAACGAAGGAACAGGGTATGAATTACTGCAAGGAAAGCTCAGTTCAATTGAACTTATCTTTAAAGAACAAAATAGCTTTCTAAAAAATCTGGCCCTCTAACCTGGCTGAAATGAATAAGAGCAGAACATTTTGGTTTAAGACAACTCAAATCAAGTGTGACCTGCATGAAGGGAGACCAGATGCAACTTTTGCATCAAAGGGACTTTAACAAAATATCCATGGCGGTAGAATTTGTATTTAACAACTATTATTATTGTTTATATGCTTTATGTCCAAAACATTTGAAAGAATTGTATGTTACAACTTTCAACTGGGAATCTATTTATCTCTAACCTAAAGCTTAAAGAGTTACATTTTGGATCAAACTGTTTAAACAGTAAGCGGAATCTTACAACAATTTCCTCAAAGAAAGAAAATATTATTGCAAGTATTTTACAACAACAGCTCGAAAAAGTTTTAATTACCAGTAGGTAGTTAAAGCAGTTTGTATTGTATTTTTTGTTCTTGTTGTTATCTCTCCATTCGACCCATTTAAGCGTCCAATTCTTCCTCCATCATGCTGAAGCTAGAAAGTAATCTACAGTCTCCTTCATGGGCCAATATTGTCCAGGACCATTGAGACAAGAGCCCAGGGTTTTTGCCCTCATCCTGTTTTCCTAAATAAATATAACTATGCTGTTGAGGCTCTTTTTTATCTCTGTACATGCTGCCTAAAAGCAATATAAGTTATCACAGTCCCTTACCTCCATACACATGATGAGTCCTATTAGGAAGGATACTATGGACATGCAAAGAATAAGCAGCTCTCTGCGGTAACCCTTTCGGAAAGTCTCCGGGTACATGTCCACAACAGCTGTCACTAAACTTTCCACACACACAAACTGAAAAAAATAAAATAAATCAATTAATTACATTTAAAGCAAATGCAGTGCTCTTTTTTTTAAACTGAGTTAGCACATTACACTGAATGGTACATTACATAGTTTTTCAAGTATATATATATATATATATATATATATATATATATATATTATATATATATATATATATATGTAATGGTAATAAAAATTCTAATAAAAATATGACATGCAGTCACAAGCAAAATACATAACAGAAAGACAATATTAATGGACAGTTTTCAACATATTCACTTATTCATACTTTGATTAAAAAAAATAAGGCACATCTGACTTCTTGGAGGTACTTTTTAAAAATTTTAAGTGATACCATTGGTGAAATAATAGTTGGAAAGGTACAAAAAACATTTCATTCAATTCAAAAATACTCTCATGAGTTCAAACTATAAAAATTAATACCTACTACTCATTAATACACATTTTAATTAGATTTTTTGTTTTATCATAGCATCAAAATCTATATAGTACATGTTATTTCATTAATCGTGATTAATATTTGAAACTGACATAAACTATTCAATTTGAGATAAAGGGAGAGAGAGATTCTACTTTACAGCTCGACTTTTACCCCCTTTAATTTCTAAGCATTATGCCGTAGAATTACACCCAATTTCTTTTTTTTCGTGATTACCTATTTCACTGTATTTTGCCGTATGTGTAGAACGAAGATAGAAATATTTTTCATTTCTGTTGAAGTAGAGTGGCTTGGTATATTTTCAGCAATGGGCAGGAGTAAGTAATTCTTGGTTTGGAATATTGAAACGTTGCCATAAAAGACTCATTAGCAACTTTCAATCTAAGCAATAATCTATAACATATAAAGTATATATTTTTTCAACCAATTAGTTATTCTGCCATTTAATTTGTCACCGGTCAGTGATTATCACTGGTGCCAGCCTACTGATTTACTGCATGCATCTCAATGATGCAGGCCAGATTTGTGGTTAGTTAAACATCTGCTTCGTGTATCCTGTCCAAGCTTCTGACTTGTTACATTTAATAGAACCTTACCAGTGGCTATCAACTTCATAAATGCAGTCATTAAAGTGAATTAAATGTGCACTAGAATGCACTTGATTTCATGCGTATGTTGCACATTAATCAGCTGTTGAGCCCGCTGTTGGATATAATCTCCCCTCTGCTCTGAAGCAGCAGGACAGACTGCCTGTCAGCCTCTCTGAGAAATACCTGCTGAGATTTGGGCCTTCTTGCAATGAAGCAACCAGGGAGAAAATAGTCCCCTGATTAGATAACATGCAAAAATGTGTCACTTTCAGTAAGGCTCAACCACCTATGGGGTCTATGGAGAAGGGCAGGCCTGGGGCTGGTTTTAAAGCTGGCTGCTCCATGCTGATCGACAGTGGCAAGACAAAGATTTTCCTCACGAGACTAAGGCAAGAGAGGAGAAAGATATCATTCAGTTTGAGGCGTCGTATTGTGCCGAACTTTTACCACGGCTTCTGGATTTTACAATTTCAGAGAGATTCACAACAGCTTTTTTCATTCATTGTATTAATCGGTTTTAACATTTGTTAATCCAGTAAATTACTTTTGGATTTATTTAACACCACTGAGCCTCCCCTATTCCAGAGAGCACCCCTGAACCAGACCACATTGTCACCACATGGCATTGAGGAAGCGCATCAAAAAATTAAACTGTTTTTTTTTTTTCTTTTAGTGGTGATGCCTATATTGAAGGAATCAAGCTGGCATGATATAATGTAGCTAGAATCAAGATCAGACATACCGAAGTCAATAGGGTTCTAGGCAATGATGCATTTCATGGCATAACTGTTAGGTTTGCATTGAGAATGTATTGCAGTTAGTAAAACCACCAGATTCCACATGTTAGCACTGTTCCTGTGACAGATTCTCTGCTGGTACCATGTGTCCTGTTTCATGATTTTTCTATGAGGCCCTGGAATGGAAGGTGCCTAAGATCAGGCGACATGGTCTATCTGTACCACACACAAGGGCTCTGATTTCAAACAAGGAGATGTGTCAGTATGCTGGACATAGCAGAAGTCAAGTCAGAAAGCATGGCGATGCACACGCGTTAGCTGGTCCATGCTTAATGTAGATTTGCAATTGACAGGATGCCTGGCGGAGGTGAGCGTTAACTGGTGCTGCAGATCCTGAACATATGCCAGAGTGGCAAGGCCAAAGCCTACATCCTCTAGACTTAAATTTAAGAATGGATACTAAGTCTTTTGAGAATAACAATGACAGTTCTCAATTTTGTTCACCTCCGACCGATGGAGCAACTATGTTGTTCTATTAAATCATATGAATGGTTCCACATTCTTAGTAACTATTCTGTTTATCACAGGTGACACACCGCTCTTTGGCATTTACCATCAAATAACAAAAAAACTCAAATTTTCTGTTCTGTTTTAGACTGTCTGGCTCCGGACTTTATGCACATACTGTCTTTTGGCTTCAAAGAGCTTTGAGTTGAACTTAAACATGAATCAGATTAATCGTGATTAATTGATTATTGAAATAATCAACTAATTTAGTAATAATTTAATCATTAACTGTGGTATAGAGACTGTAAAACAGGCTGCAGCAATTACCTCAAAATTATGAAAAAATATGTAAACATTTTGCATTTAAAATAAAAAAAATGTCTCTGTCAATATGCTCTATTCAGAACCCTGCAATTTGAAAAGTTTTAGTTTTACCAGGTTTTAGTTTGTAAAATGTAATCTTTAAGGAACCTTTGTAGCCTGGGTGCCATTCCGAACTTAGTACCGCCCACAAGGTTTGAGGTCGGGAAGTTCGGTCTGGCTCTGCTCCATAGTAGCGCTAGTATGATCGCCCACCCTCTGGCGATCCAATCAAATTGTTAGGGCGGGCTTTATACGATGATGGACAGATGATCAACAGTAACGTAATCAACCATGTGACCATGTGGGCGACAACAACAATGGCTGCCGCCGGAGAGTTGAGGTGAGTAGATTCTGCTATTAGGTCTGTTCTAGAAGATATCGACAGCAATTTAATTTTAAAAGAGGAACAGAGAAACGCGATCAAGGCTCATCTTCTTATTCTAGGCGTGAAACTGTACGCTTTGATTTTTGTTGACAACAACTATGCGTTGCTTAACATACGTCACGCACTCCGTTGCTCTTATTGGTTGTACGTCTGTCCAATTGAGTGCAGAGGCATTTTTTTTCCTGGTTCGTTCAAAACACGCCCCATAATCACAGCTCTATGGAGCAGTATCAGACTCATATTCTGACTAGAATTGAGTAGGACTACGTCAGGCTAGAACCTTTGGCTATCTGATTATGAATCGATTAATCAAAAAAAAAAAAAATAAACAGATTGATTTGCAAAATAATTGTTAATTGCAGCCTTAAACTTGATGAAGTTCTACATATGTAAGATGCTGCTTTTTACTGTCTAACTGAGGCGCTCTGGTATGGAACGGACACATACGTTCAGTAGTGGAGGATGTGGAATTACTGTGCAAGAAAATACTTGAAATAGCAGCGAAAAACATTTGCATAGGGCAGCAATAATATTTCTACCCCAAGCCTAAATGTGTTTATACCAATTGTAGTGTATGGGTCATTATTTACCAAACAAGATCCTGATTTCTAATAAATACTCAACTCAGCCTTTAAAAGAAATCATCAAAAATGTATGTATAATTTACAACAATACGTCATAAGTCTTATCTTATGACTATAGTGTATTTGATGTTTTGTAGTTGTTAGATTCTGCACTATAATCATCCTCCAATCAGAAGATTTATTCTCACCTGACTGTCCAAGCCAAGGAAGATCAGCATCATAAAGAAGAGACAAGCCCAAAGTGGAGACAGAGGCATCATAGTTACAGCTTTGGGGTATGCAATGAATGCAAGACCAGGACCTAAATAAAACAAAGAATAATTTATGGTCACTGGCTTTCTGACAGAATGAAGTAAAAGTTCTACATTTGCTTTCTTTTGTAAAAGCGAAAACAATTGGATAAAGGTATACTGACTCTGTAACATTATTTTTGGCTCAACATAATGTTTTAACTGTTGATTAAGATAACAGAGTGGGCTACTCTTTATCTTATTTCTATTTACTCAAAAAGAATCCTCATATCAGCTTTAAAAAATTGAGTTCTATGGTGCGTTCGAAGGACCTACAGTATGTCACTGTTATTGCACTGCTGGTTGAAATTATGTGTGTGTTTTTGTGTTGGGATCCCGTCACATTCTCTAAATTATTTATGATGAGCTGAATAAACCATAATGCAACATTTTAAAAGCTTAAGCGAGGAGTGCTGTGTTACATAATATGGAAGATTCCTCAGTTTAATATCACTTATGAGCTTAAATACTCACTTTCATACATTGACAGTGTTTACAGAATCAAATCACTCCTCTAAAATTTTCATTCATTGTCATTTAAGTTTTATTTTAATTGATGATCTCTCACCAGATTCAGCTACAGCCTCTATTGGAACATTTTGTTCATAGGCCATAAAACCCAGGACGGAGAAAATAGCAAAACCTGCAACAAAGCTGGTTCCGCTGTTCAGACAACATAGCATGAGGCAATCCCTGATTGGAAGGACAGAGACAAAAATTATTTACCATTTTAACCAAACAATCACATATTTGTTTAGTGTTTTTTTTCTTCCCTTGTGTTGCTATTTTTGTCTTTTAATTGTACCTTTATATAGTCAAAAAACCTCCTTACCTGTAGCAGTTGTTGTTGTAAGAATTGTAACTTCCAAGAGCAGTGAGACAGCCCAGACAGATAGCATAGGAAAAGAAAATTTGGGTTCCTGCATCCACCCATACCTGTTGCAAAAACAAATACATTGTAAAGAAATCGACCATGGTGATAATATTGTCTTCTGATATAGTTTGGCCTAAAACTGTCTGATTTTTGGTTAAAGGTTTCAAATTGCATATATATTTATATACATATATATATATATACACACACACACACATATATATATATATATATATATATATATATATATATATATATATATATATATATATATATATATAT